CATAAAATCTACCTACCTATATAATTAGAAAGAGTGGAGTTATTCGTGACTGGTCAGTTATAAAACAGAAGGTATTTTCTGTGTGGCAGTAAGTAAGCCATTCTTTTAATATTTACTTATATAAATATTTTTCTCCTTTTTATGTAGCCCTGAAAAAGAAAATAGAATTTTTCGAAAACTAGGCATAGCACAAAATTGTTAAGAGTTTTATTTAGACTTTATAGACTAATACTCCAGGAAATACCTTCTGTTTTTACCTATATAGAGGTACTTATACCAGTAAATACATTATTTATTATACGTACATTATTTATTATCACATTCTCACACCTACAAACTTACAAAGTAAAAGCACTCATCAATAAGATCACAAATTTATTTCCAAAACCCAACACACTATTGAATCCCAATGTCTTAACTAAATTCCATAAATACGCATATTTCTACTTAGACTGTATACCTAATAACATGTCAAAGATAAGCCTCAACAAAAGAAGGATAAGGCAGGAGCTGAACAGCTGCTCCTGTAAAAACTCAAACATTAACAGAGTACCACTCACTGCTCCTACCTAAATATGTAAACTTATACCAATTGAAACTATTACAGGAACTCAGTCCCACGAAATAGCTACACGTAAATCATTTGGTCATTCCATAACAAAGCCCAAAGAAACTCTAATCTTGTAGCCCCTAGTTGAAAGAACAAATACGTAGATGTGTTATCCCTGACTCTTTTGAACTCAATGACCTGATTTTGAACAAGCCTTTATAGACACATGACAATGATCAGCCTCAGCTTTTCGCCTATAAGATTATCAGGAATAGTTCAAATGTTTTGATAGTTATTTTTCATGGCTAGAGCAACTTATGCGTGGTGTCCTACAAGAATCGGTCTGTTGTCCGATCATATGTCGAACAAAAAAAATTATCCAATAAATATTGACATCACATTGTTTGTTTTGCAGACAATACATCCGTTTTATGATGCAACAAGAGTTCAGAATAGCTGATCTCGAAAATAATTTCTGATTTTGTAATTAATTAAATAATGGCAGGTATGACACAAACCATGCATCATTGTCTTACCATGTCTAAGGCTAACGTTTTGGCTTTAACTGCAATCTGCAATGGGGAAAGTAGGTAGATATTGAAATTAGTCCCATTGACGTTGTCCCGTGGTAATAATTCGAAATTCAATTCCGCCAATAGATAGATAAAACTTACTCAAAAGTAGAAAGCTATCTAGAAAATAAAAAAACTGACGTTTAACACTGAAAACACCAAATATGTGGCATATTCACTCACTAAAGCAAATCCACCGGATTATTCCGAGGGGAACTTCCATAGTGAAATCAAGGAAGTCCCCCTCATCAAATACATTGACGTGATCATTGATAGGCACTTGAAATGGGAGGATCAGGTTTTGAAGTAGAAAATAGTATCAGGAAGCTCATTCATAAATCAGATGAGAGAATCAATACCTAAGCAAAAAGTTAATAATATGAATATATAAGGCTTATTTACTAGATTCATTACTAAGACTTCTGCTCAAAATTTTAACCTCAAAATGACTTTGACATAGGTAGGTATGTAGTATGTACCTATCTGGTTTTAAGGTTTCTTGGATTATAGTTGTTGAGTCCCTTATAGATTTTGCCCTTATTATGTAAAAAACTTGTTTTGATTTTTTTGGATTCGAAATTCCAAGCAACTGCGTAGAATCTCGGGTGACTAAGTAGTCAAGGAATGTGTATTTTTGATTTGTGATTTTCATCTCTCCGTGGCATGATTTCTTCTGCATAGCCCTCGACCTTTACAGATGGACCAGATTTTTCCTCTCGTCGTCGTCATCATCAAAAATTATTTGACCATGAATAGCTACTAAAATTACCACAGAGATAGACATAGCCGTAAACAAGAAAAAGAAAAACTTCAAAACACCAAAAGATTGGATTTTGCCGGTGAATTTTCCAGTTATAATAGTATCCTGAAAATCCCGGGAAGCGCCCTGGACATGCATCCGAAGGTCTGAGATCCACACGAGTTTCAATTATCTATAAGCAGCGACAGCAAACAGCGGCTGGTTGGTGAAAAAATCGCAGAGTCGTCTAAAAGCTGTACCTATTCAAACTTTTTTTCTATATCATTCTATAACTCCCAATAACAATATGGGTTGTGATTTCTGTTTCGTAATAGCTCCTAAAACTTTCCTACAAAAGTAATGACTGAATAAAACAGTTATAATTCAGAATTTAGAATAATTCGGATCAGAATATCCAGTACCGACGTTACATAATTACATAACTTCCAATAATCCAAGCGGACCCAAAGACTGTCGTTAATATCGTGTTTCATATGTATTTTTTAATCACAAAATTTCACGCACGAGTTGTGTATCGCCCAATTCGTTTCAGCTCCAATATATGATTTCCGAAATTCTTTTGACGAGAAATTAACTTCCCATGCCAAAAATTTATTAGTTTTGTTCACAACCATAAATCAGCATCGGTAATTGATTTGTGGCAGTTTCCTTTCGCATAGCGTGAATGTCCGCAAAATTAATTTTTTAATTGGATACCAACCCGAAATTTAATTGGTTAAATTTATTTCCAACAAAACTGATTGACGGAGATTGACTGAAATCTAATATTTTGTCACAAGAAAAAATATGATGGTAGGTGTCAAATTTTTCTTGGCGAATATGTAATTTTAAAAATAATTGAATTTATTTTTCCTGTTCATTTTTTTCAAGTGGCTTCACCAGAGCCTTTTATACCCACAAACCAGTTTTGAAATGGCAAGCATGCAAATCTTAACAAAACCAATTACCTTCTGGTTTTTCACCCACAAATTTGAAAATTGAAATTTTCATTTAAGTCATCCTACCTCCATTGGCTTTTTCCCACTCAATAAATAAGTATAGTCATACTAATTGTCGCTTGTGGCAATACAAATTTTGCCATAAATGTTTTGCTAAAACCAAGGAACTAAAGTAGTTTACTCAAAAATTAATTTTTTTCCTGGGAAAATTCTATCTCGCATGATCTTTGGATTATTTATTATCCGAATAAAACAAAGAAAACATGCACAAAAAATGCTTTTCATTCTATTCAAACTAAATTAACAATGAATTAAGAATGAAGGCTTTCACGGCCGGTCAAATCTAGTAAAAAAGTTTTTCCGGGCTATAATGCCGTGGTCCATCTACCTTAGGTAGAAATACTAATGGACCACGGCATTATAGCCCGGAAAAAACTTTTTTACTAAATCAACAATACTAAAAAGCCGTTTTCCACTTTTTATGGTAGGTAATTGCTTGAGAATATTATCAAAAGTGCAACTATATGAGAAATGATAACAGTTTCAATCCCAACTTTAGAGGAGAATGTAGCCAAAGTTACCGAAGGGGTTTAGTACAAGCATGGCTCTTCTATCAATGGAATGTATTTTTTATTTCCTATTTAAATTAAAAATTCGTATCTCTAAAATACTGATGCTGTAGTGTAGTAATAATTTGCTAATTAAATTATAAGCCCATTTGTTTTGAAATTTTAGCTATACATTTGCATTTCCTGGACTACTAAATGCGAAAGGATATCCACGGGTTATCGGTTATTTTTTGGTAGAGGATGATCCTAGGGGGTCCTATTTATGCAATGATATATGCATTAGCTATAAATGTTCACCAATAAAACAATTACGTCTTTTGTTAAATTATCGTGACAAATTCCGCGGGTCCACCAAAACTCTCTTTACTAATAACTAATAACAATAAACAACAACAGGTTTTCTTTATTTAAACTTACTGAAACTTACAAACTAGGCGCTTTATATACGAAATCAATCAACTCAGAATTGCTCTAGAAGTCTCGGAAGTTATTCTTTTAGTCCGGGAGTTAACGACATATTTCATTGTACCATTTCCGCAAGCTTCATTCTTTTTGTATGTGTTATGCATGTAGTATATGATAGTAATATGAACGTCTGCCGGCGCACCAACACGACAGGGGGTTACAGGAGGGTTACAATTACAGTAAAAAGTGAAAGAAAAAAACTTAAAGCCGCATAAGCGAAACTTATTGTACGTATTCGTAGAAACATAGAAAGCTCAGAAAATATGGTCTGCCACCTAAATTCCACAACAAAAGTCATCTGCCACCCACATAAGCGCAAAAAAAAATTTAAAAAAAAAAAATATATACTCGTAAGGCTGAAATTAATTAAAATACTTCTTTTTATGGAAACAAACACAAACATAATAGTCTGCCACGAATAAGATACAACGAAGATCGTCTGCGAAGCCTATGAAGTTGGGTTCGGCATGCAGTGCCCGAGCACCACCGCTAGGAAGCTGCATTTTTCTCTTATTCCTATTTATTTAATTCTTTTTTGTAAGGCTAACCAAAATGAATTGTGAAAAGGTCAAGTCTAATGTTCTAGAGTTCTTAATGATATTATAGAAGGATTCATCGCGTACACTCAAAATTGAAATGAAAATTTTCACTTGGAATATTTATTTTCTCTTTTTGACACTTGTCAAACTCACTGTAAAAATAAATAATTTCAGCCTTGCCGGTATAATTTTTTTTTAATTTTTTACTTTTGTGGGAGGCAGACGACTTTTGTCGTGGAATTTAGGTGGCAGACCATATTTTCTCAGCTTTCTATGTTTCTACTAATACGTACAATAAGTTTCGCTTATGCGGCTATAAGTTTTTTTCGTTAATTTTTTGCTGTAATTGTAACCCTCCTGTAACCCCCTGTCGTGTTGGTGCGCCGGCAGACGTTCATATTACTATCATATACTACAAGCATAACACATACAAAAAGAATGAAGCTTGCGGAAATGGTACAATGAAATATGTCGTTAACTCCCAGACTATTTATTCAGTCATGCAAGCAAACAATGGAAATGAAATCTTGAATATTCCCGCATCGGCCATACACAATGGCGTCGACTTTTCCGTATCCATGTAATTTCATAACACTCACTGCAACTCTCAAATCAGATCGTCGTGATCTGGCCATTTAGTTACCTGATACGCCTTCAATCTTTGGTCAAAGCTTACAGCTTTGACTCCACGTTAGATTTGATACACCACGTCGTTGAGTCTTTCTATTCTATATAGATCGAGAGCTGGCAGTAAAAACAACTATAGATAAAACCAGCTAAGAAAAACCACACGCGTCATCGTCTGTCTCAATTCTACATGGGAGGGACCTAGAGAAAAAGAAATTTGCCTTCTTCGTCAGCGATGACGTCAATAGATTTTTCTTAGTAGATTTTATGTATGCCTCACAAGTTACAAAAGGTTGCATTGAAATGGCAGTACTTTGTGTTTCATCGTATATCAAAGTTCCCTCAATTCAAGGTGGATCTTAAAGTAACATTGAAATACCGGCCCCTAGTCCCACAAACCGAGCAAAATTCAAAATCTGTCTTAAAATATCAAACGTAAGCAGGTAAAAACTACTTACTTACACGTAAATCCACCTCGGAGCATTTAGGATTTAGGCATTTCCATTACACAGCCCAAACAAACTCAAATCTTGTAGCCCCCAGAACAAATAGGTAGGTACCTAGATATGTCACCCCTGACTCTTTTAAACTCAATGACCTGATTTTGTACAAGCCTTTATGGACACATGACAAAAATCGGGCTCGGCCTTTTACAAACTTTGCTTTTACCTATAATAGTATCAGGGGTATTTTTTATGGCTAGAGCAATGGGTGCAGCTCGAAGTTGTTAGGTATAGCAGGCATTAAAAATGATCCAATAAATCTTGACATCATATTGTTTTGTAGATAATACAGCTGTTTTATAAGTAGGTATTTACCTGGAGAACTTCCAACAGTGAAATCAAAGAGGTCCTCAAATTAAATACCTTAAGGTGATCATTGATAAGCCCTTGGAATGGCAGGATCAGGTTTTGAAGTTGAAAAATACTAGTAGGAAGCTCGTTCATAAATCAGATGAGAGAATCAATTGGCCCAAATTCAATATTCTGAATAAATAAGACTTTACTAGAATCACTACTATATTCTTTTTTTGGGGTGGTCTGTATAATAACGTTCTGGAACAGCTTAATGCTGCACAAAATTTTAACCTCAAATTTATTCATAAAAAGAAGAAGAACTATATCCAATGCGCAGCTAGGCGTCAGCGACTGCCGACGGCCTCGCGCTCTAAGGAGCCTCGCAAAAAATAGGTTACCGAACCTAAAAATTGACACTTTTCGGTTTCCCAAAATAAAACGTAGAGAAAAATAAACCTATACGAAACTTCTAAATATCATAGAATTCACTTGGGGCCGGTTTCTCAATAGCAAGTCACCCCCGGGTTAAGCATAACTCCAGGGTAAACATAGCAACTGGACACGCTTACCCTGGACACAGATCACCTGGATACAGATGCGTAAGTAAGTATCCTTGCCGTCGTCGATTCAAAGCTACGAAACCACGGCTCCGCAAGGAGGCCAGCCTGACGCATAGGCACAGATCCTCCGCATCAGGATATTTATAGTGCGTGAGCTTGTTCCAGCGTGTTGTGTTTACATATAACCTTGAACCACGAATTCATTGCTCTTTCGCATCTGTATGTAGGTGATCTGTGTCCTGGAGTTGAAACCAACCCGAAGATGACTCGCTATTGAGAAACCGGCCCTTATAAGCTTATTAATTCTACTGCAAATTAACCTAGAACTCTCAAATCATGTTTTTTTTTTTCGGTAGATTGTCGGTATTTCGATAAATCGGTAAATATGGAAAGGTTCTTATCACGTAATGTTGTTGAATTCAATAAATTAGCACTTTTCCTAACTGGCAACCGACCGAGACATAAAAATATGATTAGGTACCATACGTACAGTATTTCGCTGTATTGTACAGTCGTGAGCATTAAAAATGGGACATCCGATTTTTTCTATTGTCAAACGGGCTCATCAACTAGACCGTCGGCAATGACAGGGATTTTCACATTTGACAAAAAATCTGTTGTAGAGAAAATACTGATTTACCCAAAATAGCGAAAAATGACAAGACCTGTCAGTCGGGTGTCCCACTTTTAATGCTCACGACTGTACCTGTGACTGTACATTCTACAGCATTTTGAAAGTCCATCCAACATTTGATTTTGTGAGAAATTTATTTTTGGTTGGAAGGATTTGTTAGCGGAAAAATATTAGCATTTTTGACGGCTACCCGTCCCTGTCTTTTGTATCCAGTTTTTTGTCATAAGAAATATCCCCCCCCCCCTCTTCATAAAAAGGGCCTCGCAATTCGGATGTCGCCGACGTTCACGTTTGGTTTGGCTACGTCACTGCCAACGCAGCAACTATACTATAATAATCAGATTTTTAATGTAAGATCTTCATACATTTTAGAAACATATATTTTTCTTTACAAGCAGGATAATTTCAAGAAATATGTATAGAAATCATGACTCAAGCTCAAAGTAATTTTCAAATGAACCTTCCGATACCTAAGTAATTCTTAAATGAGCTTGAGATTCTTAAATTATTTGGGCTCAAAATTTTACCACTTAATACCTTTAGAATAAGAGAAAGCATCAAGTTTGAAAAAATTTATCAAACATTGTATTTGTAGGTATTTTTAACTGAAATGAGGAATTCGTCAAATTTCTACATTGATGAAATTAATAAATAGGTAGAATTTTAACTGTTATTAAAATAATCTCGAAAATAATGCTTTGGAGTTTTATTGACAATGAAAGTAGGTGGTACCTATACATAATTTTAGACATTGTCTTCAATGTCCAAAAACTGGATAAAGCCTTGAATACCAGGTAATCGGGAACCATTCAAAAAAGTTTTCCATAATGTAGTAATTAAACTCAAGTAAACGTACATTTATGATATATACTATAATGAATAGGATTGTTATGAACTTATGATACTTACCTTTATCTATCAAAAGTTTAGCTGCTTGAAGCTCTCCTTTATAAATTGAAAACATCAAAGGTGTTCGATTTGTGTACAATTGGGGTTTGTTTATGTTTGCTCCTAAAGCCACTAGTAGATGTATAATCTGCAAATCTCGTGCTTCAATAGCTTGAAATATTGGTGTTTTGTTTTCTTTATTTTCTATGTTAAGCAGCAAAGGTCTAAAAAGACGGGTTAAGTACTTTATCCATAATATTGTTGATAAGCGTAAAAGTACATGTACAAATATTCAAATTAAACTATAACCATCGGCGTCGTTTAGGGGGGGCAAGGGGGGGCATTTGCGCGCCCCCTAGAAATAGTCTTTTGAACAAGAAAGCAGTAAAAGAGAGTTCGTATTCGTCCCGTTGGGAAAAATTTGGTTTTTCCTTCCTATTTTTGTAAAACTTGTAATTTGTACCTGATTTGTGCAATTGTATCTGTAGGTATTTTTAATAAAACATATATTTTGATGAAAGATTAGTGATTACCTATTTGAGTAAGGACCTTCAATGAATACGCTGTGCTGTGAAAAATTGGCTGACATTTTCATTACATTCAACGGAATTGAATTTCACTTGACTTAGGGCCGGTACCTATTATAAAACACTGAACCGATGGCAGAGGTTCAACCTTCGGTTGAATCCTATCAATTTGCATGGAGTCAGTGTTTTATAATACCGGCCATTAGAAAATTACCTAAACAAATGATGCGGACAGTGAATTTGTTGCGGAAAAAAATACCATAATTTTTAACCAAATATCGATATCAAATAAGTAATGGAAATGGTCTTATTACAATACTGCCCCCCCCCTGAGAAACCTCGTAACGACGCCCATGACTATAACTTACTTTATATGGGCAATTTTCCTAATAACAGAGGTTTTCCCCAATTTGACAGCTCTAGTCATATGTATAACAGAAGTATACGGTCCGACATCCTGTGTGGCAGCTTTAAAGTATATCCAATCCTTTTGTCCTTCATTTTGTATTCGAAAATTATAGCAAGTACATACTGCAAGACGGTCTACTTTAAATTCTAATTTTGGACCACTAGAACAAGTTTAAACAGTTTCAAAAAATAATTCAAATGAATATAGAGTAAAGAAATAAATCAATATGTCTTTACTTTCAACTGTACGCGGACTACATAGCTTGCTTTTCCGTGGCCCGTGCACTCAGATTTTCAAATCAAAATTAATGAGCAGAAAAAAACAAAGAGTAGGTACCTTTAGCTAACATAACGAGGTGATGTTTTTGAATAATAATATAGACAGCCACATGAAAATAACTACATAATCACACTGATTCAGCTGAAATTTATCAAGCAGGCTGATGTATATACAAGCTGGAGCAATGATGTTCAGGTCCTCTACTCGAACTTTCTGACGGATTTTTATTAAGTGCAGGTTTCTGGTATCCACTTTGTGGATTCAGCATTGAGTGCTTGAGGTTCCAAAAGGCTCAAATTACGTGTCATGTAGGTACTTTGTGTCATCAAAATCCTGTGCAATTAGTACTTGGTAATCTGCAAAGCTTAGTGATTATGTTCATTGAGTGGTATCTTCAAGCGTCTGCATTTGTTTTCCTGCCTTAAGGGCGCTTATTTCAAGTATATTTTTGAAATGTGTTGGTGATAGCGTTGATTGATAGGCAGCATCCCTGTAGTTGCTGTAAAGCTCTTGCTGATGATGCTCTGCGGTCAATTTGGTTTTAGCGTCACTATTTAGAACGTTTTAATTGCCTCTATTTAGGTTTATATTGGTACCTATCTTCTTGTCCCTCCCGTAGCTTTTTAGTGGAATTATGTGATATGCTTTTTTGAAATCCACAAAAAGCAAATAAAGTTCTTGGTCATACGCTAGTTTTTTTTTTCTACATATCACGTTGGTCAAAGTAAATGAGTTGATTTACTGCTTCAATACCGGCTTGTTCTTCTGTCTCACTATTTATATTTGTACTCGTTTTCTATTTTGGATTTCATAATTTCATAATTTGATTTTGTTCATCTACTCTGCTTGACGTATATCTATCACTGCACTGCTCGGTGGTTTTCGCATTTGTATCTGTCTCTTCTCTAATATATCGTTGTTCAAATAGTTCAAATAGTTCAAATAGCTTATTATGTACTCTTCCGCTACTTGCATGTTTAGAATAAGTTCTGTTAGGTGTTCGTAAAGTTTATTGCTCTCATACATTATAAGTTCTCCGTAAATTTCTCCTGGGCCTGGCGATCTTCCATTTTTCAAGAAGCTACATGTTTTTTTTTCAAATCTTCTTCCTTTATAACTCTTATTTTAGTTGTTCTGTCAGTAATTCTTTGGAAGAATCTTCCCAATTTCCAACAACTCCTGTTGATGAGTTAAAGGTACTGAGAAAAATACTTATTCAAAGCATTAGCTATTAGTCCAAGAAACGGGAATCTGAAAAGAGGGTTTACCTCAACATAACTAGAAGTTGAATTTTTTTGGGGGGATCGGTCCATTTCAATATGCTAAATAACATATTAAGTTTGCGACCTTGTACTTCCATAGGGTTTTTAGTTAGGGGTGGTTTTTAGGGGTAGTTTGCGGTTTATGGAGAACGCTGCTTAAAGGGATGGTCCAATAACAAAAAGTTTCAAATGATTGTTGTAGCTGAAGTTTTTTGCTATATAAAACTCCCCGACAGAACCCCTTTTTCTTCTATAGTTTTTTTTCTGCAGCGTCTTGAATACTAGCATGTTTTTGTTGAAGGTCACTGAATCAACGTTTGGCCTGTTTACGCGCATTTGATGCAGTAGTAGCCGAATCCATAATCCGATTTCAATTTTTCAAACACCACATTATTTCTAATGAAATGCACTCTGCAATGCTTTTTTGTTCGAATTTTTTGCTTGAGAATTAAGCGAGCACGGACTTGCCTAATGTGCGAGGAAGTTGTAAATTGCATGGAAAACTACCCTTTTCTTGCATTCACTGTAATTTCTAAACGGGGCCAAATATTTGGTGACAGTTGTCGACAATCGGCAGCCCATTTATTCCTCTCATAATACCCCAGCGGGTTTTTTTTTGTTTGCTTAATTACTCAATGACTTATTGGCCTGAACACGTCGCGCGGAAGTCAGAAAAAATTAAAATTGTCGCACAGCGCTGAAATTTGGTACGATGGCTTTATTTATTGTTCTTATGAATATACTGCAATTTTAATTGCATCACATGGCTGCAGCAACAATTAAAATTGCAGTAAATTCATGAGAACAATAAATAAAGCCATCGTACCAAATTTCAGCGCTCTGCGACAATTTTAATTTTTTTTGACTTTTTGAAAAATTCCGCGCGACTGGTTCTGGCCAATAAGTCATTGAGTAATTAATGGAAAAAAAATCCGCTGGGGCATTTTGAGAGGAATAAATGGGCTGCCGATTGTCGAAAACTGTCACCAAATATTTGGCCCCGTTTAAAAATTACAGTGAATGCAATAAAGGGGTAGTTTTCGAATCAATTTACAACTTCCTCGCACATTAGGCAGGTCCGTGTTCGCTTAATTTTCAAGCAAAAAATTCGAACAAAAAAGCACTGGAGAGTGCATTTCATTAGCAATAATGTAGTGTTTGAAAAATTGAAATCGGATTATGCATTCGGCCGCTACTGCATCAAATGCGCGTAAACAGGCCAAACGTCGATTCAGTGACCTTGAACAAAAACATGCTACTATTCAGAAAAAAAAACTATAGAAGATAAAGGGGTGCTGTCGCGGAGTTTCATATAGCAAAAAACTTAAGCTACAACAATCATTTGAAACTTTTTGTTATTGGACCATCCCTTTGAGCAGCGTTCTCCATAAACCGCAAATTACACTTAAAAACCACCCCTAACTAAAAACCCTATGGAAGTACAAGGTCGCAAACTTAATATGTTATTTAGCATATTAAAATGGCCCGATCCCCCCAAAAAAATGTTAACTTCTAATTATGTTGAGGTTAACTTCCTTCATTGCTTGGCCTATATAGGTATATCTAGTTGACTATTTTCTTGATTATCCGTGATCAATAGCGTGAAGCTCCTATCTCATTATTTATTTGATTTTTTTTTTTTTTTTTAACTCGGGGGCTAAGTCTACGCGTTCTCAGGCTAGTTGACCTTTTCTTCTATGAATTTTATCTCCTAACCTACCACTATAGACACTCTGATGATAGATGATCTGCGGTTGCGTATTCTTCACTATCTAGATTACGTATTTTAAAGTTGCTTTCCGGTACTAGGTCTTTGTTATTTGGTGATCATCTAACAGATTAACATTCATATCCCATACTATTAAATGTTTTTTGAGGGGCTTCAGCAATATAGTCTCCAAGTATCGAAGAAAATTACTATTATTGAGGGAGGGAGGTTAATAAACAACACTTACTTGTAGGTTTTGTGGACGCAAGTCAATACATATCCAGTTTATTGGCTCTTGTTTGCGCGATTTCTCAAATTCACGAAATTTTATTGATTTTCGTATACATAGATAGATCGGTGCCACTGCCTCCTCGACCAGCTCTGCAGGAATGAACAGCAGAGAAGTCATTTGATTGAAGAAGAAAAAACGCATCATTCTCCTCCAACCATGTTTCAGTAGCCAAGTATATATCACAATTTTTTTTTCACAACAAAACACTTTACTAACAAGATCCAGTTTATTTCTAATGCTTTGCAAATAAATTCATATGGGTACGCGTTTTTCAATTGCTCGCGAGGCCCATTTGGTTTTCCGACTGACTTTTTTCTTCTATAAGGAGGACTTTCGAGTGTTCATCCATCCTCAAGAAGATATTTACGTTTCCAATCCAGAGAAATTTGTTGTTACGATCTTTTTTAAAAGCTCTAAAGGTAAGTTCCAACTTTATTTGTCTCAGAAATGTTTTCATTTACCTCGTAGGGTACCTACCTACTCCTTGCACCAACAGTTTTTGCTCATTTCTGATTAACTGATGACACACCATTTGTTCATTATATTTTGTAAATAGAGATCTATATTTCCCTCCCATCTCGTTCAGTTTTGCCATCATGACATCGGCCATAAAGTCAAATTTAAGTAAAACACCTAAGTACTTCTCCAAGAAAGTGATAAGAAAATAGGTACCTACCATTATTTTATTGTGAATTAAAATCCTTCCGAGATCATTTTGTGGAATCGATTTTCAAGTTTTATAATTCATTTACCTATCCCAAACTTGAACATGGCTAGATATACAGGGTTGCCGTTATGTATGGCAACGGCCTAATATTTCTGAACGCGCTTAAGTACAGGGTGCTGCAATTTGGAGTGTTTTAACAAGAAAAACATACTTCCAGACCAGATAGAGGAAAATTGACTTGGGATTAATTTTCGAGAAACGTCGATTGCCAAAAACCGTATCACGATATCTTCAATGGTACCATAGATACAGGGCGATTTTCGATTTTCCCCTATTATGAAAAATAACTATAAGTTCTTCATTTATCAATTTTTTTTTATTTCTGTAAAAACATTATGGAGACACTTTTTTGAGCACAATCCAGTGGCGGACTCAGTTTTTTTCTATATCGCTCCGATTTCGAGATATCGACCAAAGTCCGATATTTTCAAATGAAATACCCTATATATTAAAAGCTCATTGGATAGCTTTGTTTTTGCTGATTTCATTGATATAAAGTTCGATAGGTTTATCTCTAACAGTTTTCGAGAAAAAAAATTATATCTGTTTTTGTGGTAAGGATCAATGTGTTAGAAAAGGATTTTATATGTGTAAGGAAAATGAGGAAGGTCTCTTTCTAACGCATTGTTTCTTATGACAAAAACAGATATAATTTTTTTTCTCAAAAACTGTTAGAGATAAACCTATCGAACTTTATATAATTGAAATCAGCAAAAACGAAGCTATCCAATGATCTATTAATATATAGGGTATTTCATTTGAAAATATCGGACTTTGGTCGATATCTCGAAATCGGAGCGATATAGAAAAAAACTGAGTCCGCCACTGGATTGAGCTCAAAAAAGTGTCTCCATAATGTTTTTACAGAAATAAAAAAAATTGATAAATAAAAAACTTATAGCTATTTTTCATAATAGGGGGAAATCGAAAATCGCCCTGTATCAGTGGTACCATTGAAGATATCGTGATACGGTTTTTGGCAATCGACGTTTCTCGGAAATTAATCCCATGACACCTAAGTCAAATTTCCTCTATCTGGTCTGGAAGTATGTTTTTCTTGTTAAAACACTCCAAATTGCAGCACCCTGTACAATGTACCATATTTCTTACCTAGGGGTTTTTGGGAATGCCCGATTCAATGGTGGTATTTGCAATATTGCCAACTTTTACTGTTTCTAAGATATTGTATGTAACTTGATTTTTTTAAATGGAAGTCCGTCTTTATTTTTATCGTCATTAATTCAGCATCATAATATTACTAAAACCTCTCAACGACAAACCTTTATTTTACTTTGGTTTTTTGAAATATGGCAACACAGGTATTTTGTTAAAATCTATGGAAACTGTTTCAAATTTCAGCACCGGCTTCGGAAAAATATGTATAATTCGATTTATAGGGGGGCTGGTAGGCCCAGGTAGGAAATATTGTACATTTGTACCATTTTTCTAAAGCCAGTTCTGAAATACGAGATAATTTCCATACATTTCAACAAAAAAAACTGTGTGCAATATTTCAGAAACTAAGTGAAGTGGAGGTTTGGCATTAAGGAGTTTTAGTAATGTTGTGACGCTGAATCGATTACAATAAAAATAAAGAGGACCTTTCATTAAAAAAAAATAAGTTACATACGGCATCTTAGAAACGGTAAACTTGGCAATATTGCAGATACCACAATTGGATCGAGCATTCCCAAAAACCCACAGGTAGGAAATATGGTATATTTTTCTCAAACGCGTTCTAAAATATTATGCCGTTTCCATACATAACGACAACCCTGTATAATTATTTTCAAGCTCTCTGGAAATCAGATAACAATAGTGCATATACTTAAGCATCAGTAGGTATTTTCCTATTGTAAAAATGAAAAAAAAAAAAATAATACTCACTAGTAAATCGTTTTCCATTCTTTTATGTTATCGCAAATTTGCAATTTAATTAAATACACTCCATTTTTTCCGCAGTAAATGTTTGACCAGTTGATTGTTATACTGTTTAAATTTATTGACTTAATTTGTGGCTTTAGCATTTGGAAGATTTTTTTTACGAAAAATCTACTCGCTAAATTGATTCGACAAGTTAGATATTGATCAAACTTCGTGTCATAATGACCTTAGATAACAGAGCAGGAATATGCGTTATTTTGAATAACCCGTTCATTCCAGGAAAATGTAAGGTGCGGAAGTTTTCAAGGCTACTCTTCCATAAAAAAAATAGAAGTGTGAAAATTTAATGTGTAGAATTTTAGTTGACAAATAGAGTTTTTTACTTCCTATTTGATGAGTTTTGAACCAAGAGGTAATCTTAACGTTGATCGATGGTCGATAATTTGAATCCTTTTTTAAAATCGCAACTTTTTGTTACTGGTTGTGCGACCAAAAGTTACAAACGTTTAGTGGTTGGTTTGCAAAATATCTCGAAAAAATGGATACTCTTCAAATAGCCCGCCTTTATTTTCCATTTATTTAATTAAAATAGCTGCAAATCTGCGAACTGCATTTCCAGTTGATGCCCTAGAAACGTTTTGGTGGGTTGTAAGGAGGGCCAGGGGGGGACCAAAATTCCCCCTCCACCAGAACTTCGATATTTTCGATTATCGAAACACAAATTTTAAACTTGAGTTATCAAATTTCAATATTACAATGCAATTCAAAAATATTGTGACGGGCTCCGCGGATCCACTAAAACTCCCTTTTTAATAACAATAGAAACTTTTATTGAACTAATTAATTTTACAAAATTCAGACTTCAGAGTCACGTGAATGCTTGTTTATTTAAATTACACAGTAGGCAGAATTCCTAAATATTCGTGGTCTAGTCCTAACAGTGGCATCGGCTTCTCCCGCACCAATCTAATTTCGTAAAACGGCCACCCTCTCAAATTAGATCTTCCCGATTTGTCCATTTATTTAGGATACATCACCACATGAAGCAAGGGACGCACTCTGCGTCGGGCCTCCAGAACTGGGAGGCCCCCACACAACCGGATTTTAAAGGCATCAATAAAAAAATAAAAAAAAATAAACTCATCTACCTATATTAAAAAATATCAAAAATTAAATTTTGAAAGTTTCGGCAACGTTGTATACCTCTAGGAAAGCCTTGGGACTCTGCAATGGATATAGAGATCGTTATCCCTATCGCTACCGCACTTGCTTTCCTCTACTCTCTTTTCGAAATCAATAGAGAGGGGGCGTCAATAGAGATAGAGAAAATATCTCTATTTGTTACAGAATCCCAGCCCTGCTGTGCTCAACGCGATGCGGCAACCGCAGACGCGCGGGACGCATATTTTACTTTTTTGATTTTTTTTTGTATGTGGAAACCGTGGAAACTATACTACTACTTGTATTTCTTTTTGTTTAAATAGAAAGTTCCTGAATTTTCACAAATAATCATATTTTTCGTTTAACTTGTTCTCATATTCTATGTCTCATAGATGTTCTTATTCAATGATCTTGTTTTACAATTAGGCACTAGCTGACGTCACACACATAACCTCACTTTCGATAGGGGGACGAACATGCAACGACCAAACATGTCATTGACGGCCGTTTCCACCAACTACATATTTTAGGGAAGCCTTAATGATAAATATTTCTTGAAATTACAAATTTCCATGAAGGCTTTCCTAAAGTAGTTGGGAAACTGCCATGAGACAAACAAAAGCTTTGTTTGTTCCCCCATCGAAAGTGAGGTTATGCGTGTGACGTCTGTTAATGCCCTCAACACCACAAGAAAAATATCTAAAAAAAGCATGACAGGGCCCCAAATTTTTTTTTGCGTCATGTCTCAAAGGTCCTTGCTCCGCCACTATACATCACCTTCTCTTCCACATCTATACTTCCATTCAATAGATCCCTAATCATTCCATATATCAATCTCTATCTCCCTACAATCAGCATATCTATGTCCCTTAAATTCCTTGACGCATGTCTCCGGAAATATGGCTCTAGATCTATGTTTTTTGTCATTAATAATAATCTTCATCGTCATAACTATCTACATCTCTATGCCTTTCAGGAAGCCCTCCTGTCCATCCAAGTCTATACTTATGCCTGCAAGTGGCCACCTGTCCCTGTCAACTGCCATGCTGTCAGCCGCGTTGTTTGCGCCTGCGCGAACGGTCAAATGGGAGGTCAAAAAGTATTCCCCTTGAATACAAAAATGACGTGTCCGAGCGTTTTTTTAAAATTTTCTGTTTCGATGTTCGTGAAACACACTGTATACATATTCATTCAATCGAAAAATGTCTAGAATCATGCTTGATTAGAATCACGGTGCGCCAATGTAAAATGTAATTTCGTAACAATATGTTGGCTGTATATTTAAGCCAATTTTTATTACTTTTTGACAGCCTGGCCTGGCAACTACCAAACTTGGTTTTATCTACGTGATTGATAGTACACGACACACGTACTCATACGACTTCGAACAAATGAAGTACCTAGGTAACTATTTGTTTTGTGACGTCAGAGACTAACTCTGATTTGACGTTCTGACAAGGAGTCACTGGAAGACTAGACTATCCCATCCCTGCCCGGGGATTCAAGATTCGGACACTTTCGGATATTCGCGGCCATCCGATGACATATGAAATGGTTTCTTCAAAATATGGGCTTGAAACCACAAAAAAATTTTCGCTTTCGGCAATTTGACTGCGGCGGATAGCGAGTATTGATTATTGTTAGCTACGTAAGCGGGCTCGTAGATAAGTCAGACATGGCAAGATAATAATTCACCGGTTAGATTATTCCTTCAAGGCCAAACTCAATCAATGAACACGACATACCTACTCACTTCTTGTCATTTCTTAATAAATGACGAGTAACGGAATTCATGATCCGCTAACTGGAGAATTAAATGTCACGTTTTCCCAAAGTAGTTCTGAGGATTCAAGCAATCAATTCGAAAAATTGTCTCTCCCATGTTTCCCTCATAAAATATCATCCCCAACAGTTTTTCTCATAATATACCAATACCATTCCACACTTTGAGAGCACATACTGACTGGGTCCTTTACTCGATTGTTCAATGGGAATTATCGGTAGACCAGTAGGTAGCGCGATTCTAGGTGATTTAAGTTGAATTATTCGGTAGCATCACGTGTAGTACGGTAAATAGTCAATCAATTTCAGTTAAGCTGTTCAATATTCGAACGAAAGCAATACATTTTAGTCAAAATATCAGTATTAAAAAAGTTTCCCATTTGTCAACTAAAATTCTGCTTACGCCTTTCAGATTACTAATTTAAAAAAAATAATTAATTTGCTTGTATAGGGGGAGTTCTAGAAAGAAATGTATATTATTGAAATGTGTGACAATAATAAATAGGTAATGAATGATGAGATAAACTTAAAATTTTCAAACGTTTTATAAAATCCTTCCTTCCACAGGACACTAGAAAATTTTATTAAGTACGTACCTACACTAAAAAATTGAATCTGATTTAAATTTGCCCGCTGGGTAAAGGTAGTATCCCCATTCCAAAATAAATCTAGATAATGGATCAGCCAACGACCCAAGAAAACATATCGTAAAATCTCCTCCATTAATGATTCATAAAAATCTATTGTATGAACAAAATTCTTTGTATGAAGAAAACGCAGAATTCTAGTTCTGCTCCAGATTCCTACTTATTTCTCCCATAATATTCATATAATATAGCGTCAGTGCGAATTGCTCGGTTGAAATCCCAATTTTATTGCCCAATAAATGAGGAAATATCTTTTTATTGTCGAGTTCGAGTTTCAATTACTGAGAGGTTATTATTTTCGTGTTTGCTTGAAAAAGCAGATGAATGCTTTGTGGTATTGATTGACCTTTTAAATCAAAAAAGTGGCAGATCTCCTAAAAATATTATATTTAATAGTAAGTAGGTGAGTTAATTCGTTAATTTTTTGATTATTCCTCTATAATCAGAATGTTTTGTCACGGATTTCTCGGGTCCACTAAAACGCTTTCCGTTAACAACAACAATAGGCTTGTTCAGTAAAATTTCATTCACATTTTCATGGAGTATTACTCACATATAGAGCATAAAAAAAACAGCTTAATTGGATACATAATAAAGAAGTTATGCGTCCTCTGTGACGTCATACCATCTCTCAAGTCGAGGCAGGCTAAAGGCCATGACACACGGTTTTGCCTAACGCAATGTGAACTAATTTTCTGCTGACAGTTTGGCCTCAGTTTGCGGAACTATAGATAATTTATAATTCTACTTTTTTGCATGCTATTTCTTTAATTGTGCTCATACAACATTGCTTCGCTCACAAAAGTCTATAAAGCCGGGCTCAAACGACTCGTGTACTTAGCGAATAATCGTTACTTGCCTATACTTGCCATGTCGTGTGAGTGAGTTACTTGTACAATTATTTGTCACTCGTTGGTTTTCCATTTCTTGTCGGTAAAAATGTCCCGAGTCAAAGGGATCACGATTATACACTTGCCAAGTTCATACTTGTCTATACTTTTCGACTAGCAGAAGCGTAGTACAGAGGTTTTGTTTGTTTTATCTTTAAAAATTGAAATGGAGTGGACAAATGATATTGTGTACGAGTTTCTCAATTTGTATGAAAATGAGCCGGTTATTTGGATGGCTAAACATAAAGACCACAAAAATCGAAATACAGTTAATGATGCGTGTTTCGACTTTTATTTAATGATACCATTTTTTTTTTTACGGATATGCGCACTCGCAAGGAAATGTCCTATCACGCTCGAGAAGCGGCAACCATCTTCTTCTCTGTTTCTTTGCTTTTAATTTAATTAAATAACCATAGCTCATCACAACAAAAGCGGCGGAAGCAACAACGAGATTTTCCAGACGACCACTATCCATATTGACTGCCACACCACTGTGCTCTAGTCATTTGTCAAGGTTTAGCCAAATGTTCGCGCTCGCGTACTTGTAAATTGTAACACGTCGTGTGAGCGTCCTGCTTGCCATCGCAATTCGCAAAGCTCGTATACTTGCCAAGTACGCGAATAATTGTGTATTCGCCAAGTACCTAAAGCCGGGCTCAAACGACTCGTGTACTTGACGAATAATCGTTACTTGCGTATACTTGCCATGTCGTG